GTGTGGGGCCCTGCCCGCGTCCGTGGACTCGGTCACGAGCGCTACTTCCTGCTGGTGGTTGACGACTACTCGCGTTACACCACTGTCTTCCCCTTGCGCAGCAAGGGTGATGTCACTGAGGTGCTGATCGACTGGATCCGCGCAGCTCGTCTCCAGCTCAGGCAGAGCTTTGGCTCGGACTTTCCTGTGTTGCGTCTGCACTCGGACAGAGGCGGAGAGTTCTCCTCTGGCCTTCTGCGTGCCTACTGTCGTGCGCGAGGCATCCGCCAGACCTTCACGCTTCCGGACTCCCCGCAGCAAAATGGGATTGCAGAGCGCCGCATTGGCATGGTCATGGACGTCGCTCGTACGTCCATGATGCATGCGGCTGCCCCCCATTTTCTGTGGCCGTTTGCGGTCAGGTACGCAGCGCATCAGATCAACCTCCACCCCAGGGTCTCCAGGCCGGAGACCTCCCCACCGCTGCTGTGGACGGGGAAGGTTGGCGATGCGTCGGCGTTCCGGGTCTGGGGATCTCGGGCGTTTGTCCGCGACTTGTCTGCGGACAAGCTGTCCCCTCGCGCTGCTCCCTGCGTCTTCCTGGGGTTCCCCCCCGACGCCCCTGGGTGGCAGTTCTACCACCCCACCTCTCGACGTGTTCTGTCCTCCCAGGACGTCACGTTCGACGAGTCGGTACCCTACTACCGCCTCTTCCCCTACCGCACTCCGTCCCTCCCCCCGCCCCCGCTCTTCTTAGTACCAGGTCCCCCCCCGGTAGACCCCCTCCCCCCTCAGGGTCCTGCCCCTTCAGGTGAGTCCAAGGTAGACGCGGTCGAGCCTCTCCAGGTCACTGGTGACTCTGGTGCTGCTGCGGGAGCTGAGCCTGGGGTTGCGGAGCCTGGGGGTGCGGGGTCTGGGGGTGCTGAGCCTGGAGGTGCCGAGCCTGGGGGTGCTGAGCCTGGGGGTGCTGCGCCTGGGGGTGCTGAGCCTGGGGGTGCTGAGCCTAGAGGTGGTGAGCCTGGGGGTGCTGAGCCCGGGGGTACTGAGCCTTGGGGTGCTGAGCCTGGGGGTGCTGCGACTGGGGGTGCTACGCCTGGAGGTGCTTCGTCTCGCCGAGAGCCACTCTCCCCTCAGGAGCTTCGTGAGTGGTTTGCCAGGCGCTGGAGGCGTGCTGCTGGTGCTGGAGGTTCTTCGGCTGCAGAGGGTACTGCTGCCGAGCGTCCCGGCGGTGCTCGTACTGTGGGTGCTGGAGCTGCTGGGTCCGAGGGTTCTCCTGGAGCTGGTGCTGCTGAGGGTGTTGACGCTGAGACTGCCGCTGGAGGTCCGACTGGTGGTGCTCCTGGTGGTGCTGCTAGAGGTTCTGGAGCTACTGGAGGTGCTGCTGGAGCAGGTACTCCTGCTGGGGGTAGTGGTGCTGTCCCTGCTGTTTCGGGCGTCGCCGCGCGGCCCCGGCCGTACTTCGTTCCGCTCCTGCAGCAGGTTCTTGGTCTTACACCTTCTCCTGGTCCTCCTCCTCCTCCCTTAGAGGGTCCACAGCCTGTCTCGTCACAGTCACAGCTACAGCCTGCCTCACCTTTGCCTGCTCCTTCTCCCTATGCTGGTCCGACTGGAGGTCTTACTGAGCGTCGTGAGCCTGCGTCTCGTCCTGCGTCGCCTGTTCGTACTGCGCGCACTAGTGGTCGTGGTTTGCGTCAGCGTCCTCCTCCTGTCCCTGGCACGCACCGGATGTCTCTGCGTCCGTCTACTGCTCCTCTGCGTGCCCCTTTGCCTTCTCCTCCTACTTCCTCTCTTCCTGCTCTTGCCGACCCGGAGTCGGACTCAGTTCGTGCTGCCAGTCCTACTGTCACGCGTCTTCTTGCTACTGCTGTCACTGACCCTTCTTTCGAGTCTTCTGCTGCGTCTGCCCTTGTCACTGAGCTCGTCGACTTTGCTGCGCGCTGTCGTCTAGACTACGCTGCTAGTCTTGTCGCTGAGTCTGAGTCTGCCTGTCCTCCGTCCGTCGGGGGTGAGTGTGCCCTTGGCACGGACGTCCTTGAGGACAGGCAGGAGGAGTTCCAGTGTCTGGCCGCCGCTTCACCTCATCTCGCGTCTGTACTGCTAGCCCCTGAGGGAGACCCGGATGCACTAGACATCCCGACTCCGCGCTCTTACGCGGAGGCGATAGAGGGTCCCTACTCCTCTCAGTGGCAGGCAGCTATGGATGCAGAGATGGCTTCCTGGAAGTCCACAGGCACCTACGTCGACGCTGTTCCCCCTCCTTGGGCGAACATCGTCAGTGGCATGTGGATTTTCAGGGTGAAGCGGCCGCCGGGTTCTCCGCCTGTCTTCAAGGCGCGTTACGTGGCTCGTGGCTTCAGTCAGCGGCAGGGGGTTGACTACTTTCAGACCTTCTCCCCCACCCCGAAGATGACCACTCTTCGGGTACTGCTGCACGTTGCTGCTCACCGTGACTACGAGCTGCACTCTCTCGACTTCAGCACAGCTTTCTTGCAGGGCAGCCTGCACGAGGAGATCTGGTTGCGTCGCCCACCTGGCTTCACTGGGTCTTTCCCTCCTGGTACCCAGTGGAGTCTCCGGCGTCCAGTCTACGGTCTCTGCCAGGCGCCACGTGAGTGGCACGACACACTGAGGACTACGCTTGCGGCACTTGGGTTTGCTCCTTCTACTGCCGACCCGTCGCTGTTTCTGCGCACTGACACCTCTCTTCCGCCGTTCTACATCCTCGTGTACGTCGACGACTTGGTCTTTGCCACAGCGGACACTGCTGGACTCGCTTACGTGAAGTCCGAGCTGCAGAAGAGACACACGTGCACTGACCTGGGTGAACTGCGCAGCTACCTTGGCCTGCAGATCACCCGGGACAGAGCACGCCGCACCATTACCCTGACTCAGTCACACATGGTGCAGCAGGTCCTTCAGCGCTTCGGCTTCACGTACTCCTCGCCTCAGGCCACTCCTCTGCCTACTCGCCACTCGCTCTCAGCTCTGCCTTCGGATGAGTCCGTAGAGTCGAGTGGCCCGTATGCAGAGCTTGTTGGCTGCCTCATGTACCTGATGACCTGCACACGACCTGACCTTGCATACCCTCTCAGCATTCTCGCACGCTATGTTGCTCCTGGGAGACACCGACCAGAGCACATGGCTGCAGCGAAGAGGGTGTTGCGCTACTTGTGCAGTACGTCGGGCATGGGGCTAGTGCTTGGAGGGCGCAGTCCAGTGGTCCTCACTGGGCACGCGGACGCTTCTTGGGCTGACGACCAGGCTACGCAGCGGTCGTCACAGGGTTACACCTTTGGCCTTGGTTCCGGCTCTGTCTCGTGGCGGGCTACTCGCTCGTCTTCTGTTCTCGGCTCCAGTTGTGAGGCTGAGATCTACGCCGGGGCTATGGCTGCTCAGGAGCTTCGCTGGCTCACCTACCTGCTGACCGACCTTGGAGAGTCGCCTCGTTCTCCTCCAGTCCTGTACGTAGACAACAAGGCCATGCTGGCCTTGTGTCGAGAGCAGCGACTGGAGCACAGGACAAAGCACATTGCTCTCCGCTACTTTCTTGCTCGTGAGCCGCAGCAGCGTGGACAGTTGCGACTTGCGTACGTGGCCTCTGAGGCCAACACTGCTGATGTCTTCACCAAGGCACTTGCGCCTTGTGATCATCAGCGTTGCTGCACGCAGCTGGGTCTTGTGCCTGTCTTGCCTCACTTGCTCACTTCTTGACCTTGCTTGTACCTTGACCTATATATACTCTTGCTCTTGCTTGCTTGACTCTTGTATATCTCTATATATGATCTTGCATGCGAACTGGCCTTGTGGCCCTTGACCTTGCGCTCGGAATGTGTGGTGACTTTGTGATCCACCCTGAGCTTTGCTTTGCTTTGCTTGACTGGTCTTGTGACCCCTTGTTCTCCCCCACTTTGCCTATGGGGGTGTGTCAGAACATTATAGCTTACTTATTTGTGTAGGCTATAGTGGGGTATCCCATAGGGGGTACAACCCAATTAGGGTTTCATATTTGTACTCACTTCATTCATAGTTCATTCATTCTCGTTCAGTTTTCCACATCCTGCAGCTCCAACACGCGTATCTCCCATTCGTCGCCATATGACAGGTATTCCTCCTCGAACCGTTCGAGGTCCCGATATGTCTGCCACATATCCACCTCGGAGGGGTCCCCGTTCCCAGCTTTAAACAACTGGATGATGTCGGTTATGGCTGCATTAGGCAAGAAATATGTTCGCGCAATGCGCGCTATATCTAGCCTAAAATCCCGACTGACACCCGCCTCCGCAACGTCCGACGACTCCCCCGATGCAACCGACGGAGCTGACTCTGCTGATGACCACGCCTCCCCGTCATCGCCATTGGCCTCCTCCTTGTCGCGATCGCAAGCTGTGCGCGGCTCGAATGGCGCGTCAATGCGACGACCGGATGCGTGTACGATCGTGATTAACGGCGGCCGATAGAAGCGGCCGTACGGAATGTCTAAGGCCGCTAGGCGGTCCTGTTCGTACAGGCATTTTTTGTTCCGCCGCTGATGTCTACGTAACCCACTGTAGCTTTTAAGTAATTTCTCGCAGAAAGAGCACGCCGCGTACGGCATAGAAGACGGGTCATGCTCGGAACATGACTCACATGGCCCTACCGTAGACGCATGCGTGCGGGCACGCGCATTTACATCCACGCGGTCCACGCCAGCTAAGGAGGGGGTCGCGCCTAAAACTGGCCGCGTAGTGAACAAGGCGTAAACTGCGTTAGGGTTTCACCGCTTGCCTGCCCTCTCGACACAGATATACCCATCAGTGGCATAAGTGTGCGTTTATGCAATATGTTGAGTACCATACAATACGATGAGCATTTCTGCTTACAAACATGGAGGTACAGCACTGAGTTTCACTCTTATCGCCCCCCCATATCCGTATCCGAGCTACACTCTTTCCACTATCATACTAGAGCCCTCACTATTATATGTTCCGTCTAAATCTATACATAAATAGTTCAACATTTTTAGCTCAGGAATGATAGTGTTTCTACGGCGCATCAATGTCTGTGCGTGGGCGCTTTGCACTAGGCGATGGCATCAGTCGCTCAACAACATCGATGAACGTGATGGCGGTGTCGAAAGTCGGCAGCCTGGCCACAGCTGCAAAATTAGGAGAGGGTTGACCATCACTGACAATGCGTTAGTCATGTGCACCATACTGGAAAGGTGGAGTTTGCCACGCCTGACGAGCAACTCACCTCGAGCTAGTGCATCCACACGAGCCTGGGCTCTGATTGGTAATCCCATGTTGGCTGCCTCCTTCGCATCGTTAGCACCTGCGGACAAGAGATAGGGCGCGAGATATCAGACGATACCCAGAAAAGCAAATGGTATAACTATGCCTCACCTTCCGTGGGTAGGCGGATAGTAGAGGGAATGGGCAGCAGCCGCTCTACCACATCGATGAACGAGATTGCCGTTACAAAGTTTGGCAGTCTGGCGGCAGCTGCGCAAAGGGAGGGGTTGGATGCACGAATTAGCATGGCATCTTATAAGAAGCCCATCGCAGGGTGCCCGACGAATGACACACACATGTAACGGACTCACCCCGCGCGGCACGAGGTACATTGGGCAATGCAGCTGCAAGCAGAGGCACGCTAGCCGTCTGGTGTGTACCTTCAGGTCCTGTAAAGATGACCAGGGGAGGTCAGGCACTCTGGACAGAGAGCGAAGTGCCCTAAACTGGGAGGTGTGACACACCTCGAATTAGCACTGTAAAGGCCGTGGCCGCTCAGGTACTAGGCCCATACTTGCCATGGCACTTGAATGCAGTCGCCCATCATGGCCCAGTGACGCTGTCCGCGGCGTTACTCCTGGCGCGGCCTGCCCGTTGTCCTCATCCTTGGGCTTGCTTGCATTGCGGTCTATGACGTCCCCATGGCGATGACCGTCCAACGACGCTGCCCCCCCTTTCTGCACCGCTTGTTCGTCCCGTGTGCCGGATAGCATCCCTCCCCTGACTCCAAGCGTGTCCCCGGTCACGGGGTCTTGCTGCTGGGTCCGGCCATGTTTGCGATTTGGACCTGTGAGCACCGGCAATGAGGCAGAGAGGGGTGATGTTGGCCCCAAAACATCGACGCCCTTTATCTTACCGATGTCCTCATCGGTAGCGCGCATCGCAACCGGAATTGGTGACTTATCGACAGGGCGATACTGGCCTTCGACCCTCGTGCATCCCGGATTTTGCTCTTCGCCCACCACATCAGGGTTTACGCGCCCCGATGCAACACCAGTAAGGCGGTTCGTGGGACGGCTCTGATGAGGATCGTTCTGGTGTGGCGCGATTAGTCCGCCGCGGAACTTCGACGCAGTTTTGTCATTGGCAGGCCGAAGGGAGCTCAGGTCCTCCTCCGTCGCTGGAGTTTCTGTCCCGAGGTCCGGGGAGCCGGTATAGATCTGCGTCTCCGCTTCCATTAGCGCGTCCACCGGCTCGCCTAGCGCCTCCACCGGCTCACCTAGCGCTACGGGTTCCGCGTCACCCTGTCCGTGCCCCGCGGGGTCGTTGGTGCCTATGGGCTGAGATTCTCCTCCGCACCGTGGATCAGTGCTTTCCCACTTGTAAATCTGTGCCAGTGGATTAAAACACGGAAGTAGAAACGCACCGCTTCGATAAACGTCTTCCGGCATTCCACAAAATGGGTCTTCACTTTCTCCGTCAGCGCCACCGTCGTGTACGGCGTGCCCTACCTGCTGACTATTTGAGTGCTGGTGTGGCCCGCTTCGCGTGGACGCCATGGTTGTAAACAGGAACTTCGGAAGCGGGGTTGGTTTATCGCATGCCAAGTGTTGTAAGCAAGGTGTGCTTGACCGCTGATGAGGGTTTCGGGAACAGTGACGGCCTCGACCCGAGCTGTTTCACCTAAAGTTTGGTATGGGGTAAACAGAAATGTGCATATATATTTATCGAATCTGCTTAGACATTGCAAAATGAGGCATGCATTACTACCAATCTGGGAGCCCTGATCTACCAACCATTGTTCACAACGATTTACTGTGACAAACACAGTGCTATGAAGATGACGGGCCCATCTGCTTGGGGTACCAGCCGCTCCACTCCAAGAAATCCTCCCTAATATCCTCTCTCCATTCTGTTGGATCACCCCACAGTCTGATCGACGATGTGTTTGCAAAAGCGGTTTCCACCAGCACCTGCATATATTTCATCACGTACACACCACAGTCGTGCTCGTTCGACTGTTTTGTGACCTGGGACACGGCGAACATCACACACATGCGGAGGAAACACACAGGCCAGGAGCAGGCATAGATGGGCCACATTTTCTTGTTCTCGCGCATGACGCTTTATGGTTAAGCGTGGCATACCTCCATGGTCACGAGCTCCACCGAATTCTCCCATAGTTGCGCCTCCACGTCCGTGAGCTGATACCCAGTGAGCTGAGACCCAATGGGCCGATACCCAGTGAGTTGAGACGCAAGATAACGTCTTAGTGGTCCTGCGATGTCAGTGTGTAACGAGAGTGAGTCTGCATGTAGGATGCGGGTAGGTCGCGGGATGTTGTGCTCGTCGACTGGGTGGTGGTTGTCCAGTATGACAAGGCTCCAGTGGCCGCTGCAAGAACGAATGCAAGAATGGGTGCCGCCATGAGACTATGTGGTCGCCCACAGATGCTATGACGGATGACTACAAATGTAAATGACTCACGCGCGGTGGATCGGTACTATGACCCACTTGTAGGTCAGGACATTCTCTCCGCACGCGAAGTTTCGCAGTTCTGCTGCGGTGTTGTCACCGTCAATCAGCGTGTTAAAGTATGTCCCCGCGTATAGCCACGTTCGATCTTCTCTGATAGTCTCATATTGAAGCAAGCTGCATCAAACGAATGACGAAACGCGGGTCAGCATGGATAACAACATGGTGAATGGGTTGTTGCAATGACGCACATCAAGCGCCGGGTTACTCACATGCCCCACCACTCAATGATGTCGCCAGACACCCACTTTCCAGGGGACAGGGTGTCTAGCTGTTTCTGTGTCAATGATAACCACGAGCCACCAATTGGGTATGGGATACTGTACTTGTTCATACGGGAGGTCGGGGCTTTAGACTTCTTAGGAGGCATTGTAGGCTGTAGCACGAGCGTGTACCCTGAGGTCTAGATGGAAGCCCTGGGTCTACGTTGAGGCCGCGGCTAGGCAGCGTCAAGTGCGGCGGGCTGGAGATGGTGGTTGTGAATCGACTGATCCAGAAATGGAGACGTTTAAGTTGACATAACATTACAGTACGGTGGTGCACGATTTATTAGTTCGCATTCAACATGAGCCCTCGATCACCGTGGCTTACCGTCGCCAGAAATGTTGAAGATGCATTGCAGTGTGTACTCCGATATCAACGGGCAACCTTGACCCAACCATTCCAAAATGGTCGCCTATAGCGGAACTCGTTAAGGCATCCGGAATTGGTATGCACGGTATGTGGTGCAACCAACAGTCCTGATACACGGTACTGGGTTCCGGTGCGGCGACGATGAGGTTACACGTCATTGCCGCAAGTCGAGGCCGACGCGTGGACAGGGGTCGTGTGAAAAGCGGCCAATGTCGCGCAGCCAGACCTTCGTGTGCTGTACGACGCACAGACGGTTTAGATTGACCCAGGCGGGCGTGGACTTCAATGGACGGCTATCAGTCACTTCGAATGCCACGCCCACAATGGAGCAGGAGCCAATTGGCGCGTCTGGTTGGTTGATGGTAGCAAGACTCCTGTTCTTTGTTGTCTCATTGCGTTTTTGGCAAAACCCTTGCAATGTCTCTTTGGGTACTACTCGTAACCCTAGGGCCTGCCCCTCCGCGCAGGCCAGTGTTGCAAGAATCGCCCTATTGAAGAAGCCAGTTCGAGGTCAGAACGATGTCGCTAACCTTAGACCGACCTATGCGAGATAGGAAGCCGCCCGCACACCTTAACGGGACCGATTTCGTAGTGACTACGGTCTGCACTCGTGCGCTGGACAGCAAATGGGTGGAAGAGAGCGAGCGCACGCGTGTGCTCGTTACTGAATATCGATCTCGGCGTCTACGTGGCGCCAGTCATTTGCCGCCAGGCCAACGTGAGCCCACTCACGGTGTCAGCGCCGGCCCACGCCAGAGACCGTTGCCTAATCCATACGGCCAGACTCCAGAGGACGTGCACGCGGAGCGCGAAGCACGGAGACGTCGACAAACGAAGCTGTTGACCGAGATTACGTCTGGAAACGCGGGGCCTGCAGAACAGTCAAACAAGGCAAGGGGTAAGAAACTTCCTTCCCTTCACAAAAAAAGCCGCATGCCCAACTGTGATTTCTTACATGTATTGGATCATTGCGGCGTTGGCCATTGGCGTTGCTACCAGTACGGTGACCCTGGGTACTCACCAAGCTACTAAGTAGCGTTTCGGTTTGTTGTTGCAGGTTGTGATCCAAGCCTTAGCGGGGACACTGAGCACGGCGGTCCACGCAGCACCGAGTGCGGCCTTGAGGCATGGATGAAGTACAACGAGGTGCTGTTTACAGTGCAACACTCATCATGCTCTGAAGAGCCCGACGTAGACGGCGAGGGCTCGGAGTCCTCACACTGTGACAGCGAGGATCAGTATGGGGACGCGGACTGGGTCGCAAGCGAGTCCGAGTCCTTGGCGGAGACTGATAACACGCCTCCTCCCTCTCACCAATCTGAACTCGCAGGAACACAAGGTTGCGGCCAATCTGCATCAGCATGTGCGGGTAAGCGCTTGCGGGCCACCGGGAGCGGGTCCAATCGCTTACGCAGTGACGCCAACACGGCTGTGCTTCGACGGGTCGTGGTTGTGTCTACACATACGTCCAGCATGAGGCGAAACTTTTTCAACATCTACGAGGAGAGGAGCGACGTTGACATTCCGTCGGCTACAGGCCAGAGCGTGAATGTCGCACGAGGCGAGCCGGCGACGTCGGAGACCCAAGTACACGATGTCAGATTTATATGACATAGCTACTGTAGGCTATAGTGGGGTAGCACATATGGGGTACAGCTTTCTAGGGTTTGTTCTTGTACCCAACTTTCCCTTAGTCATTCTCATTCTCGTTCTAACTTTCTCGTGGTATCGAGCAGGTTCCCTCGTGGGAACTGTGCCTAGGGCCCACCACATCGATTTTTTTTTTTTCCTGCCCGGAGCGCGCTCCCTGAGTCGCGCTCCTCTCTCTACCTTCGTCGAGCCGCCCTAGCGGCCTTCCTTGCGGCCCCGCCGCCCTCACTTGCAGCCCCGCCGCCCTCAGTTGCGGCCCCGCCCCCTCTCTTGCGGCCCGTCGCCGCCCTCGGTTGCGGCCCCGTCGCCGCCCTCGGTTGCGGCCCCGTCGCCGCCCTCAGTTGCGGCCCCATCGCCGCCCTCACCTGTGGCCCGTCGCCGCCCTCCCTTGCGGCCCCGCAACCCTCTGTTGCGGCCCCGCCGCCCTCACCTACGGCCCCGTTGCAGCCCTCAGCTGCGGCCCCGTCGCCGCCCTCACCTGCGGCCCCGAAGCCGCCCTCAGCTGCGGCCCCGTCGCCGCCCTCACCTGCGGCCCGTCACCGCCCTAACCTGCGGCCCCGACGCCGCACTCAGCTGCGGCCTCGTCGCCGCCCTCACCTGCGGCCCGTCGCTGCCCTCACCTGCGGCCCCGACGTCGCCCTCAGCTACGGCCCTGTCGCCGCCCTCACCTGCGGCCGCACCGCCCTCAGTTGCGGCCCCGCCGCCCTCACCTGCGGTGTCGAAAGTTGAACGAAGAATGAGAGAAGATTAAGTAGGGCCTAGGCTTAGTAGCCTAGGCCCAAGTAGGATATCGAGCGGGTTTCTCCTAGGCGAGGTATCGAGTGAGTTGGAAGAGAGAAATTGGGAAGAATGATTTCACTATAGGTTTCAAGAAACATATAGCATAGGAAACAAAGTTGGTGCACCACCTACAAAGCACAATAACTACACTACAACTACAAGCAGTTATAAAATATGACAAACATATTTCGACACGCCCCCATAATGCTTGTAGGTAGAAATGTAGTTACGCCAGGCAAAAGAATAACAAGCAACAGCAGGTACTGCAGGCGGGCTAACATTGAATAGTTACCCCCTCCATCTCCTCACCCTCCTCCTTCCCCTCCCCCACACTGCTGCAGGAGTAGCAGAGAAGGGGGGAAGAGAGGAGAGGTGGAGGGACGGCTGCATGTTGCCTCACACCCGCCACCCCGGTACCACTCCCCTTGCTCCCCCACATCCTCACACCCTCCCCCCCCAGCGGCAGCTGCAGCGGTGGGACTGAAAGAAGGAGGAGGGGAAGGGAGAGAGTTGACCCAACACTCCAACACCCGCCACCCCCATACCCTCCTCCCCACGGCTGCAGGGAGACAAAGGAGGAGGGGGGTGGGCGGGAAGAAAGCCGCAGAGCGGCTAAACGGTGTCGGCGCAGATGGATCAGGGGCGGCTTCAGGGAGAGCAGGGGCGGAAAGGCCCGTCGCGTGCCAGTGCCACGGGGCGCACGACGGGTAAGATAAGAGAAAGGGCCCGATCGTGTGCCTCAGGGCGCACGACGAGCAGGGCACCATCGTGTGCCATGGGGCGCACGATGGGCAGGTTAAGGGCACCGTCGCGTGCCACAGGGCGCGCGACGGGCAGAAAAGGCGTCACACGC